GTAATAATAGCGATAATATTTGCAGTATGATTTCTAATATGAGTACAGCGAGAACGGAATTCCAAAATAAAATGGATGGCATCAAGCAGTACATGGAGCTGCGGAAAGTTGGCAAACAGGTATGCGATTGTATTATCTTTTTGTATACCAAGAATAGCCCAAGATCATCCGAACAGTCAACGTGAAAATTGACTATTATGAAAACTGAGTGCAAAAATTATGATTTTGAAGTAAAAATCATTTTGAGGTAAAAATTACTTGTTCTTTGCTAGAATGAAACCTAATTCCATTCCCAATTTTTCCTAAGTATCACAGAAGAATCCCGACTTTTTCCCGGGAGTATTATTTGCTGGAGAAATCCTGGCTTTTCTCCCAGAGTATCATTTGTTGTCATATGATTGATCTCGGACAAAATGAGATTCCTTGATTTGGTGGATATTTTCTACTAAAATTGTACATTTTAGCTTGAAACACGGGTAATTAAGTGGTTCGATTATTTATGGGCTAATAAGCAATCGCTAAGTGATCAACGTGTACTAAAAGTACTTCCGGATAAGCTGCAAACCGAAATTGCTATGCAAGTGCACTTCGAGACGCTCAGAAAAGTACGAATCTTTCAGGTAAAGTGCAATTTCTTATAAATTTTCATTGAATTTTTATGCTTTTTGTGAAACAGCAGTTCAAAACGCACATTTTCAAGCCCCTGTCTCTGCGTGTGTTTTTGTGTGCGTGTGTGTGTGTGCCCGCAGCAACTTGCTCCCTGGCTTTTGTGGTTTTCTGTCCCACATTTTGGTCAAGGAACCAAAAAAGCTGGGGGGCTGAAACTCTAGTAGAATGTTGTTCACTCACGAGCGACCCTGGGAATTTAAATTCAGCTTTCACATACCTTGAGTACCATTTACAGCCTCATGAAAGTTTTGGTGGGAAAAAAGTTAGTTCGGGAACCAAGAAAGCTAGGTGACTGAAATTTTAACGGAATGTTCCTTGTCCAAGTACTACGTAGTTGCTTAATCAACTTCCAGAACTTCAAGGACCAGTATGTCACCAGTTTTAGCTACTGGGATTCCAAGCGATCTCACTGCAGCACAAAATACAGTAAAAATGCATGATCGACCGAACAACCTGGTGCTCGTCGCCAACGATTTCTATTCGTAATAAAAAAATCTGCATATTTTTTAGGATTGCGAAGCGGGTCTCCTAGCTGAATTAGTGCTGAAACTTCAGCAACAGGTAATTTTTTAGCTGATTTTATGTCACATTTCAATTCGAATGATTATCCAAGCTCTAAGTACGACTGCTTTTTAATGCATTTTCAAATGAGCATAATCTTGGGATTACATTTTCTTCGGGTTTCTTGAGGAAAATACTTTTCTTGAAGGAGGACAAAGTAGAGCTGGTAAAATCGCAATATCAGTTCCACTACCTTTTGGCGAAATGTCGTCGACTTCTATATCGACTGTTCTGAAAGTTGATAATGAAATGGCTGGTCATGGTTTCTCACAAATGTATTTCAGAACCAAAATGGCAAAATAAATTAATTTTTCAACTTCTGATTTAATAATGAAGCGGAAAAATGTTGCAGGTATTCTCTCCTGGTGATTACATTTGCAGAAAGGGCGACATTGGTCGAGAAATGTATATTGTAAAGCAAGGCAAGCTGCAGGTTGTTGCGGACGATGGTAACAAAGTTTTTGCTACCTTACAAGAAGGCGCAGTTTTTGGAGAACTAAGCATTCTCAATATTGCCGGTAAGTGGAACAAAAAAAGAAATAAATAAATAACAGAGCGCATCGGGATAGCTGGTGCGATTTTGCTTTTTGCGCAGTTCCGTCCAGCGAGCGTTTGCTGAACTGTATTACTGATGTCGAGTGAAAACTTGATAATTACCGAGATCCATAGGCGGATCCAGAACTGTATCCTGGGAGGGGTGGTGAGGCGAGGGAGCGGGGGGAGGAAGAGAGGG